CCCCAAAACCCCAAAACCCCAAAACCCCAAAACCCCGAAGCTTTTGGAAGAGATTGAAAAATAAGGTTTCTAAAGAAGAATTTTTAGAGCCAAATTATTATTCTGAAAGTTCACATCCGGAATAGTCTAAGGAGGTGGGGTCTCTTAGAGGGAGATCCCAGAGATAATGAGGGGAGAGATACTTGGTTCCATCGAGTCTTTGGATTAGGTCTGAGACAGTTTTGAAATCGACTTTGGATCGAGCTTCTAGAAGGTTGGTTTCTTCATAAAATTTCTCCTTTTTGAGCCCTGCTTGTAAGATTTCGTTACGTATGGTTATCAATTTCTTGGCAAGGGTTTTGTATATCTTTGAAGTTTGAAGGAATCCACTTCCATATGTCTCAATATACTCTATCATGCTATTGGAAAGGTCCATATTAAGCACCATTTGCTCAGGATTTGGATCTTCGAGCTGCTTAAACTTTTTCTTAATTGCTCTTTTTCTCTTGATTCTTTTGATATAATCGCTCATTTTCATATTCTTAGAAGCTGCAATAAAGCACTTGTTCTCCTTAGCAAGCATGTAGTTGAGTATATCATTGAAAGCCTTTTTGATGATTCTCACTCTGTCAGGACTCCATTCGCTAACGTCATTACCAGCCATCTCGATTTGACTTAGTCTAACACTATCAGGATTGTTATTGATCATCTTTGGTATCTTAAAGTAAGCAAAGTTTTCATTATTATCCACCTTTGATTTTTCATCAGCAGAAAAACTACAAGAAGGCTGTAAAATACTTATTTGCTTTCGAAGTTGAGCATTTTCTGATTTGAGGAGTAAGTTTTCTTCTGTCAATTCCTTATTAAGCTCCTCTAAAGAATAAAATGTAACATACCTAGCTTGGAGAGATATCGTTTCTTTCTGCTTCGATATTCCTGTGATCTAATTTTACCAGGCTTCCGTTCCTTCTTCTCCTCCACAACCCTTGCTTCCTTCTCAACCGCAAAGACAGGTTCGATCGCAGTCTTCTCCATTTTCTTCCTATAATAACTATCAACTCCTCTATAATTTCCTGGGGTTTTGGGGTTTTGGGGTTTTGGGGTTTTGGGGTTTTGGGG